TCATTTCTATTGCAATTTAATATTAAGAAGTCCACATATGTTTGAACGATTTATACAAACTTTATTTCACAAGGGTTTTTTTTGTTACTGCTCATATATCTCATAAAAATTAGGATTGACTTAAATCCCTTGAAGAGTTTCTCCTTACAATAAAAAAAATAATGGCCAGTTTTTCGTATAGGGCAGATGTTTGGGTGTTGTAGCTTGATGCACAGTGCTGCGATACTGCTACCAAGGTGATACAAAAGGACTATATTTAACCAGTAAGTGAAAACTGAAAGGTTTTGGCTAATGGAGAAAAGTAGATTGAAAGATTACTGGCTAAAAGAAAGAACTGTGATTGAAAGATTCTTGGCCTCAAAAATAATAGAAATGGTGCAAAAGAAGCAGGAGGAACATGTTATGTACAGTATTATATTGCCAAATGCATTCAAAATGTCACACTTCAACACACGGCAGATGTTTGTTGTGAGTACTAAGAATATGCAGAATTAGCAAAACAATAGAATACCAATCAGGTCATACGGAATTAGAGAGCGACTGGTTCCATCAGAGACCTTAGATAGTGGTGTAATCCTTTATGATACCTTCCCACTAACCCAAAAAGTAAGACTTCATCATCAAAACTTTAACAGTGAAAGTGGCCAGATCAGAAGACAATTATACCTCTGTGGTTGCCTGCAGATATCACTTGCTGCCATTTCTTGGGGAAATTTGTAATCTATTAGGTGTCTACCCATGCCTTTCCTGCACTCGGTAGCTAAATGTTTTACCTCACAGCAGTCAGATCATACCTTCATATAAGTCCTCCAGCTAATGCTTATGGACAGGCAACATGAAAACCCTTTTTAAGGCACTTGAAGCTATGTTGTCCCCAATGCACAATATCTTATTTATGATGCATGCCAGTAAAAGACAACTTTTTGGAGCTTTTGCTTGCAGAAATAGTTAGTAACTGTTAAAGAGCATCCAACGCTCATTTGCAGCCAGAAGCCATTTGCTGAACAGGTGCTTACATGTACAATGCCTCTATACAATGTCTATGGAATAATTAAGAGGTGTCGTGAGAACTTCCCCAATTTGAAGGCAAGACAACTTCCTATTTTACTTTACACTCCAAAATGTGAAAAGACAAAAAGGAGGCAACACCTTCAATGTAATATTTGTTTTCTGCTAAAATTAAACTGAAAAAAAAGCTTTAGCTGACCCAAGATGGGTTTCAAATAAATGATCCATAAGTGTACCTTTGGTGTTAATACCTCTCTAAAGACTTTGTTATTCTTTTCTAAATATAGAAATATACTTTAATAACTGTATTTGGATGAATATACAGGTGAAACTCGAATAATTAGAATATCGTGCAAAGTTCATTTATTTCACTAATGCAACTTAAAAGGTGAAACTAATATATGAGATAGACTCATTACATGCAAAGCAAGATAGTTCAAGCCGTGATTTGTCATAATTGTGATGATTATGGCTTACAGCTCATGAAAACCCCAAGAACCCCAAATCCACAACCTCAAAAAAGTAGATTATTACATGCAATCAATAAAACAAGGATTGTACATAGAACAATATCGGACCTCTGAAAAGTACAAGCATGCATATGTACTCAGTACTTGGTTTGGGCCCCTTTTGCAGCACTTACTGCAATTACTTTTGCACGATATTCTAATTATTCGAGTTTCACCTGTATAAGCAATGCCTTTCTTTCATTCTTTTGGTAGGACCAGGGATGGTCCACACCACGATCTATTGAATTGCCTCATATTTAAGTGGGTGATGTACTTTGGACCTGTCAGTGTTTCTACCTCAAAAAAGCTTTTTGTCTTTTTCAACAAAGGCTTTAGTAATTTTTACACCATGGACAGTAGCATAGGAACAGAGGATGCATCAGTTGCTGTCACAACAAGGCTCATGTTCTTAGGGGATCTGATTAGTCTGACTAACCCTTCAATCAGCATAATGGATGAGGAGCCCTCAGTTGCTAATTAAACCCACCCTCGTTATCATCATGGGGCCTGACTTAAAAAAGTCACATCAGGATCTGCGCAAGCATAGTAAGCAACTATCCTTCAGAGTCAGAAATGTATTTCTACAAGACCCGCTCAACCTAGTCTTGGTTGAGACCTGGCTAGTAATAAACACTAAACACATAAACAGTAGTTTTTGTAACATGTGGGAGAGTAATGAGTAAAAAACTCAAACCATGTTAAAAAAAACCTCTTTAAATACCAAATGATTCAATGCAAATAGAATCAGCAGAAATAATGAACCACAGCCCTGACAACCACCAGTCCAATGCAGTTAATTGCTGGTCTGGATCTGATATGTTCAGCTTTCTGCGCAAATGTATTTGAGGTCAGCACTGCTCTTCATACTGCATGCTTTGGCCCATAGGTCAACACTGACTACAAAAGTTCATGTCTCAGATGTGAATAAGCCACAAAGGAGCATGCAAAAAGACCCCATTTCTGATCAGAACAGAGGAACAGCATCTAGGCAAAACAAGGAAATAATTCCTAAACTGTCTGAGATTCATTTTTGCAGTTACACTGGTGGTGATGGTGACAGCTCTTTGAAGTTACCATATCTGAGGTAAAGCAATCTGTCAAGACCCCTCAGCGCTTTGCTGTTAAGCTTTATCAGTACCAGACCTCTTGGAGGGAAGCATCAGCATCAGCTTGGAGCCAAGTTGCTGTAAGAAGACCCAGGAGCTTCAAATTTGGCAACTAGGGAGCCAAGCTTGAAGCTGAATAAGATAGCACAGTCGTTTTTTAACAAGTCATTATATATTCTAGCACAAACATGAATTTGGATTCCCCTGTTTATCTTTTGAGATATTTTCTTTCCTTATGCTCTGGGCAGCTAAGTAGTCTCAAAACTTGCTGCAATTACAACAGGCTCAACTCTGGCTATGGTTTAAATGTATTGTCACAAGACCTAAAAGAAAACAGCAACCACAAAAACTTTTGACTGCATAGTTACACATAATTCAGAAAAGACTCAAGGTGGCCATACATTCACGGATGGCTCCGCCCAGCTGTCAGAAGCAGGCTGTCGGCCGGCCGCTCGGCCAGCTTCGGCTTTCAGCACGGCTCAGCCAAGCCGAGGCATATGCGATCGGCTCAACTGAGCCGCTCGTCCGTGATCGGGAGCTGCACGGGCTATTGTGAATAGCCCGTACAGCACCCCCTCGGTTCTCTAGAACCGAAGGGGTCCTGGGGCCGAAGCTAGCCGAAGGATCGGCCGAAGCTACGGCCAGATCCTTCGGCAGCTTTGTGAATAGACCCCTAGGTGTTTGCAGTAGCAGAACCATGTGCATAGTCATGGTGTCTTGACACAACCACACTCTAATCTGGCAATCTCTTAGCATTTGTCAGTGCAATATTTCATTGCACCTGCAGCTCCCCTACATTTATCATACTTACTTAATAAATAAAACTAGTTGGACTCCTAAAAACTCACATGATGTAAAAGGTCCACAATGTGCTGTGTCTGCTCTACAGCTGATTCTTTGACAGAGTTACTGGAGTTTTAAACAAAACAGCAGGATTCATTGAAGTACAACTAATAATAGTTCCTGTATGACATAAACAAGTACCAAATCCAATTACCATTTGATGCATAAAGTACTCATAAAGTAAACAAAAAAACGCACCTACATGAGAGTGACAACTGAATTAAGGAGCAGAGCAGCATTATTGTCATACACTGGAAGCTGCATTATATGGATTTCCCTGGCAAGTTCCACTCGTATTTGTTGGACTTTATAGGGAGATTAAGAGAAAACTAAAGAGATGCACTTATAATAAAGTACTGCAGCACATTTTTTTTTTTTAATAGAAGGTTATAGTTCTACTTTAAAAATGCAGAAAAGACAATGAGAACAAAATTTGAGTTACTGCAAACAGCGACTAGTCAGAACTCTTTTTTAATTTCTATGTTAAATGTAAGGTGAATCCTTATTGGATGCTGTTGAAAATGTGGACATGTCAATTTTCTTAGTTGATCACAAACTTTTCATGAGTCTGTGAAATTCTTATATTTTCTAGCATATTGATCATATAGACTAGTCTAAACAAAACTTTCTTTTTAAAACCTGGATCAGTCATTACTGTGTATATTTTGGAATGTTTTTGGATATATTGGTACAAATATATTTCGTAATGAGCATCAACATTCTATGCTTTTGATCTGGACACTGCAAAGTAATCTGCTAGCAGTGTGGACCTCAATGGCCTACTGTAAAAGTGAAGTGTTCTATTAACTGTTAATTCAGACAGACTGTAGGAACTCCACCATAGACTATAATTTCGTTATAAATTCCAAACAACTATCACAAGGTGATTTAGTCTGTAAAACTCCAGAAAGATGGCATATTATGCTAATAGAATGCTTAAAACCTCCTTGTAGCCCAGATGAGAATGCTTTATAATTGCCATTAGCCCTTCCTGTGAGTTTTCCAGCTACTGCAACTGAACTGTCCCCCTGGACATAGATTTTGCACAACTTAAAAGTTCCCATAGGTAGGATAATTCACAGAGTCATTACTGCACAAATATAAACTGTTGCATAGATGAAAGTTTTACCCTCCCTGGTATAATCCAAGTAGTTGTAGTCGGTATAAGAGGCCATCCTAACACCTTGGGAACAAGGGGGGATTGGAAGTGCACTGTAACATGGTAAATGAAAGATTAAATAAATATCACCTCATTAGGGTAACATTTAATCCAGAGTAGTGTAGATCCTCCATGGCAGCCCTTGTGAAGTACCATTTGCAGTATAACTGCATCTATGTCAGCAGTAGCTCTGTAGTTGTCCGGTGTCCCACTTTCTACAGGACAGTCCCCCATTTTTGCAAATTGTCCCACTACTAGAGGGGGAGCAGCATAAAAGTAGATGGCATACAAAGCGCACCACCTTTTTTTACCTGTTTCAGGAACATGTCCTACCAATAGATCTGCACACATATTACTGCTATTAAAGATACTCACACTGAGTTGAGGAGCTGCTGCTGGAAGTCCTAAGGTAATATTGGGTAATGATGGAGATGTGTATAGACTTAGCAGATTCATCGACTTTTCATGATGAACAATATGTTGTTGGGAAACCAAGTGCTGTAACAGATTTAAAAAGTTGCAAAGTGTTACACTGATATATTACAATGGAAAAGTTCATATCAAAATTGCATTGTTTTTCAGTCAGTTTATTACTTCATTGGTCCCTCATCAGTGTTTGGTTTTAGAATGCTCAACATTCCCCTTGTATTCACAATTAAAATCTTAATTTTTGAATACCATATAGAAAAAAAGTTTTTGTAACTGCTCGAACTCGAGCTCCTGTTATGTTTGCTGATAGTTTGTACGGCTGATAAATGCGGAGAAAACGGCACACATGGCATTTTTATAAAGCAGTACATTTACCAAACCTTCACTGAAGATGAATCAATCAATTGTGTTTTAATGACATGTAGCATAAAGTTACCCCTGCAGTGAATGTTTAGTGAATATCACTTTCCCTGCTTTATACATATACCACAATGTATGTAAAAAATAATTTGATTATTTAATCACTACAAGTAATAACCACAGTTACCAGAATACTTCATTTTTACAATGGTGATCTTTAGGCCTCATTAACATGGGCGTGCACTTCCATACAGCATGTACGCCTGTGCAGAGACCTGCTCTCGGGAGGGACAGTTGCAGCATGTAATTGTGTGCAGCTGCCTCCTCCCATAGGCAGATACAGATGGCTGTACACATTTACACACCACACCTGCCCTCCCAGTAGCAGATCTCTTCATGGGCGTGCATGCTGTACAGGTGTATATGCCCATGTGAATGGGCCCATTAAGAAAAAGCAGAACAAGTAAGCATTGTAGTAACGGCTACAGTTGAGTGGCGCTGGTATCTCTGCTTTTACTGCTTGAGTCTCTAACAGAAAAAAAAGCTAGTGTGTAATATAGATTGGCACGCTCTTATGATATCCAAGCATCACTTCTGGGTGTCTTGAACCCTTAAAGTAAATTTTGTGCCAAAACATTTTTGGGATAGAGCCATCCGGTCACATTGGAGAGATTTCCCTTTACTTCCTATCCTGAAGACTCAACAGCATGTGACCAGATATCTTTCCAATGTGAGAGCTGTCCCCTCTTGAACAACTGTCACTGGAACAAGTGTCCCCATTGGAATAATTTCCCCTTTATTCCTGTTCTGCTGACAGCTTCATATCTTGGGTTCTCCCTCACTTTCACTTTCGGTGACAGTGGTCATCAGGACAAGTAAAGAGCGTGAATCTCTTTCTAGCGAGGACAAACGACAGCAATAAAAACAGGGTTTTCATTTTTCCCTACTTACTCTACCAAAAACTAAAAGAAAAACGTTCTAGTTTACAAATATTTTATTTTTATATTTATTTTATCTGCTGGCTCATTTAAATCAATTTCATTTTGCCACAGAAGACATAATTCCTGCAGAATCCATGCCTTCCACATGTGCTCTCACACATTCTTCCTTAAATTACGCTGTCTGTTTATAGCTTATTTCCTAATTCAGCAGCATTGCATAATAAGAGCCACACAGGCTCCATTAGAATTAGGAGCTATGCCATGATATTATCCCCAGGGGAGTCACATCCCTGAAAAAGAATACCCTGTGTAACAGTACGACAACAGTGACTGCTTTCTTCACAAACAAAAAGCATATGGGTCTGTGATAACAGACCACCACCGAGAAGGATCCAGCACACATAGGATTGACTAAGTAAATATAATAACTTGTCAAGCATGTAGAGTTTAGAAGGGCTGCTGGTTTTGTAATGGATCAATCTGGAATATCAATTAACTAGAGAAAATAAATTTTGCTAATGCTCGGCTGTCAGTGTATAGCACAGTAACACAAAAATACAGGATGTTATTCAAAAATGTAACCTTTCCTGGGCCGGTTTTGTTTTTAGATGCAGCTTATAGGAGCTCTTGGACAGAGGAGACGGGATGAGTAATTTTCTCTTTGACATTTGTGTGTACCCAGGGGCAGTATGATAAACAAGAAAAGGCTGCACAGTAGTAAAAGGTGTTACGTTACTGTATTTATAGTAAATCAAGAACTGGTCATTCATTGTTACATGTCATTAAACAATCTTCTTACTAGGATGGATGGCAGCCATTAACCTTTTTATTAGTCTTAGGCGGCAAATCGTTATAACCAGAAGGTAAAAGAAGTGAAAATACATTCAGATGTCCTAATGGGGACATTATTTTTATGGAATAGTCATATGGGAAAATACCTTCGATGCAGTTTGTACATTTAGAAAAAAATGAGCTTCTTACATAATATGTATTGAAAGCTGTAAATTTAACCACTAAGGTCCATGCAAAGTGTGCTGTGCAGCACCACAGTATAGATCTACTCTTACACTTTCACACTATATTATACATGTGTGCGTTTCCAGTTTCAGGAGAATGCGTACACATAGGGACGCACTCATGGACACTTGCTTTGATGAGTCTGTTAACAGTCACAGTGTATACATTGGCACAATGCTGGTGATCTCTGTAATTTGACAGTGATTACCGTACAAACTAATGTTTTCCAATTAAAGACAATGTTTACCTCGGCCCCTTACCGACAAATAGCAGAGCTAGGCTACTTCATTGTGCCAAAGCAGTTTGCGGCTGATTCTTAAAAAAAAAAAAATTCAACAGTAAAAGCCCATTGATGGGGACTGACCGCAATTATACAGGCACAAACTACTGCCAGTCATTAAAGGATTACAGAAAGATATAACCAATAAAATAAAACCAAACATATTTGTTGGAGTTTAAAATGCAACCCAGAACCTGCCTTCTCAAAACTGTTGTGCCCTGGCCCCAACCCCCGTTACATTATGATAAATGACAGCACAACTCACATTCTGCAAACCAGAGGAAACTCCTATTGTATTGTGGGAACTGAACTCTCTCTTGCACAGCTATGACATGATGATAAGGTGGAGGGCAATGCATATGAGTAAAAGCTCAAATTCTGGGTTCCAGTGTTTACCAACATTCTCTATATCGGCCACAGAGGAAAAATATTGGGGCCACTATTAAGAAATTTAAGTTTGATAGCCATATTTAAAAACAATGCAAAGCAAATCTTATTTTACAAAGCAGAGGCATTGCCCACTTTTGTGTAAAAATCATGCACATTGACTGTGACTGGTCTATAAAAATGGCAAGTAAATGATAAAGTAATCAACTTACCACAGGCAAAATACAGTATACATGGATCCTGAAGGAACTGGCCCACTATGCATCTATGTATGAATAACTAAGGAAAAGTGAATATGTATTTGTAAAATCCAAAACCTTTCACGTCTATGAGCTAAGGTGGCCATAGGTATGGCATAACGGCAAATTTTTTCATGTCTATGAGTACAAGCAAAACCAGAAATCTCTGGCAACTGGATGACTGGGGAAAACTAGATTATGCTTAACATGAAAACATTTTTAATTTTTTGATTGTTTGCACTTTACTTGTATTATCTTTGTCCTAAAGCCTCTCTCCTTTAGCACTATTGGGATTTGAAATTTTTTGCTACTTTTCCACAGTCTACTGGCATACAACCTAAGGTCAGTCCCATTATCAGCTATCAAATATGCTATTCCCTATTTTTCATTCCGTTGGGAATCACCTCCTTTGGGATCCAAATCAATGGCAAAATGACAGCTGGCCAGGCACATAATTAGCCATGTGGAAGCCGTCTAATAAAAAGTAAGAATTTTTGCTATAAAAATACTGTATTTCAATGTTATATTCCATCCTTTGGTCTTACAGTATAATTTGGTGATGGGCATTGGAACTGCACCCAGTTCTGTTGTGTTATTTTTAAAAGTCCACAGTACAGGCTGCAAAGCCAAGACATATATAGTAATATAGCACATTGATTTTTTCTTTTTCCTTCCTCACCATTTCTGCAGTAGTGATGAAAAAATAGGTGATAAACTAGAACTCGGTATATAAAATATTCCTGCTGCTACTTATCAAAGGACACCTCAACTTCTTTTTATACTTTATGAAAGCGAATGAGTACCGTAGGCGGTATACTTATAAACACGATAACATGTTGTTAAGAGGTTTAATCACTTTGCTGTCACACCTGGTACATCTGACAATTCTTATTTTCTTCTTCTCTAAGCAAAGTTAAAGTGACACTAAACTTAGGAGTTCAATCTTAAAAATGCATTTAAGTATCTCAACTATTAACAAAAATGTATCTTATTTGTATATCACTCAACTGTAGATCCTGACACTGGCCTTCCTTCTGGTGGGTGACTACTTTTGTTCCCCATGCTCCCTGTGTGTAATGTAAAGTAGCCACCACTCCAAGCTCACTCCCGTGATGGACTACAATCTCACGTTTAGTTTACCAATTTGTATTGAGATTATCACAGGAGTAAAGTTTGTGTGACGACAAGCGCACTCAACAGTGGGAAATCAAGGGGAAAACGGCAGACCCAAAATGGATAAATCCAAACCGTATTAGGTGCAGCTCCTTTACAAACAGGTAGAGGTGTCCTGTGACTGTGCTGAAAGATAAAAACGGAAGAAAAGAGCACTACCACCTAGCGCAATAAATGTGGTAACAAGGAAGAAATATGAAGGAAAGTATGTTGCACATACATAAGTGAAGAATGCACAAATGTAACAATCATCAGGGATATAAACTCATTCTGAAATATCAATTAGTAGGAAGGCTCTAAGGTCAGGAGTAGTAGATACCCAGGAGTGTGGCTCATCTGACAGTGAGATCAAACAAAAAGAGACGATCATGCACTGACTGTGTAAATCTGTGAAACATTTATTGAAATCTAAAAAAGAATTACACCCACACTAAGAGAGTTGGAGGAGATGCTATATGAACTGGCTGGAAAATGGTGCTGGTTCTGCAATGGAGCCACAGCTAGGAAAACTGAAGGACTGTAGGTATGCCACCTGTATTCAGGCCCACCGGGGGAGGGTAGAGAAGAAGAGCTGTGCAAAGTACTGGCTGGAACATGGTGCAGGTTCATAACTGAGCCCAAACTGGGAGGACCAGAGGACTGGGAGAAAGGACCATGGCGAAAGGACCTTCCTCCAGAAAGAAATCCAGGGCAGTGGAAGGAGGGGGGGAGGGGGAGAGGACTTTCTTCTTCTCTGTTTCCTGGTTTGATGTAGAGGTTTGGTACCTCAAAATGTGTTGCCATCCCCCCTGCACCTGATCTTTTTCGCCTTGGTCCTTTCTCCCAGTCCTCTGGTCCTCCCAGTTTGGACTCGGTTAAGAACCTGCACTGTGTTCCAGCCAGTACTTTGCACAGCTTTTCTTCTCTATGCTCCCCCGGTGGGCCTGAATACAGGTGACCTATCTACAGTCCTTCGGGATTCCTAGGTGTGGCTCCATTGCAGAACCAGCACCATTTTCCAGCCAGTTCATACAGCGTCTCCTCCATCTCTTTTCCCCCATCGGTTTGGACATAGAAGAACCTGGCCATCCTCTGCACTAACATGCTGAGGCTGCAAGAGATCGGACCCAAGAACACATGAGCACAAAAATCTGCATTTATCAATTACCCAGAGAGACTTTCCAGCTACACAGTGTGCGTACGATTCTTTTTTAGATTTCTGTAAATGTTTCACAGATTTACACGATCAGCGCATGGTTGTCTTTCATGTTTTATCTCACTGTCAGATGAGCCACACTCCTGAGTATCTCCTGCTCCTGACCTGAGAGCCTTCCTACCGATTGATGTTTCAGAACAAGTTTACATTCCTGATGATTGTTACATTTGTACACTCTTCACTTATGTGTGTGCAGGTGGTGGCGTTTCTTCTTCTTTTTTATCTTTCTGTCCATCACAGGAGTGAGCTTGGAGCGGTGGCTACTTTACAACACACATAGGGGCCACAGAGAACAAAAGTAGCCACCCTCCAGAAGGAAGGACAGTGTCAGCACCAATTCAGAGATGATTTCCAGATCTACAGCCGAGTGATACACAAATAAGGTACATTTTTTTAAATAGTTAAGGTACTTGAATGCATTTTTAAGATTTAACGCCTGAGTTTAATGTCACTTTAAAGTTGTGATTGTTGGCCCTTATAAGGAGCCAAGGGGTCTATATATTTAGGAGATTGTTCACCTCTAGTGTAATCTGTCAAGTCATTCTACATAATCTCACTTTCTAACCTGCCATTAAATTATGCTCTTTTATTAATTCAAAACACAGAAATAACTGCAGGTAAAACCTATTAAGGATTTGGAATCTGAGCGAGAACAATATTTGACTTCTAAGTGGCAAACATTTTTTTATGTATTTTTACTACAGCAATGGAAAACTCAACACCCCATTCCATAGTGTAGGGCAAACCTGAAACGTGATAAACATATACCAACAAAACATTGTACTGCTTAATTAGAAGAGCTTGTGTTACTGAATTTCCTTAGTGACAGACAGATCTGCAGTAGAGCTGGGTCTAATGGGTACCTGAAGCATCAAATCTTTCATTACTGAATGCTCACTTCCTAATTGTCTAATTGTGTAGTAATGAAGTCTTTATTCTTCCACCTCAATTTGACATCTCTGGCTTTTTACACAAAGAGTTACAAGATAAAGCCACATGTAAGCTATCAGTGTAACATTATTTTCTCTTCTGGCGTCCACAGGGGGCTACTAATCAGTGGGCAGGGGTCAAACACCTGCCCCCAGGATCACAGTTCACCAACAATTAATTTATTATGAATGGGAAGCCTGGAAGTAGATGTGTCTGAGTCTCTGAGTGGATGTCCTGCTGGTGACCTTCACATTCTGCTGTACAAGCACATTTCAGTGCTTACTGAAAGCAGCAATACAGTTAGAAAGGTGATATTTATATTGGAAGAGGGAAACATAGCATTTTTTATCTTGTGACAAAGTGAAAATACAAAATGTACACAATAAATGTATGTGAAATACAGTTTTCTCCAATTGAAATGAATTGATTCATCACACACGTTATTTGTTATGTAAGGTTGAATAAGGCAAGGTACACACACACATAGAGAAAAAGGAAAGTCAAATTCCACCTTTTAATAAGAGTAATTAAAATCAGTCCCTCAGCAGCTTAATAAATAAACAAAGCAGCTCTAGGTTGCAATATTCACCTTCTCTTTGGCACTGTCCCTGCCGACTACTTTTTTGGGTTGAATGACAACCTTCATCAGCCAACCTGCTTCCTGTGAGCCCTGACCATCATGGACCAGCCCTTTTGGGGCATGTGATCATAAGAGAGAGGCATCCCAATTAAATACATTTTAAGTTCAGGTACAAAAAAATGTGAAAACGCATTGTATATACATATTCATAAGAGCATTATCCTAACTCCTAATTCAGTGTAGGATATTGAGCCATGATATTTTGTTTTTCAATTGCTGGCCCCTCTGTGGTCCTGTCCCTTATAGCAATGGCATGAGCCACTTTGACTAGCTACTCCTATATCAGTCATGGATTCATATTCAAAAACTTTTTTTCCCTGATCCCTCAGTTAATTTATTTATTCCTGCTGCAAGAAAGCAGAAATGGGCCAGTATGCAACTTCGGCATTGATACTATAACTTCTATAAAAAAATATTTTTAAAAAGCCTGCCCACCTGGGGGTTACAGGGTTATACTGCTATGACTGAAAGTGCTGTGAATTAGCTGAGTAGTTGGCAGTGTGTGTTGCCCATTCCTATGGATCCTAATATATTAAAACTTTAGTGCTTTTGAACTGTAGTCAAAAATGTGTGTCCGTTTTAGGTGAAGCAACACAGAATCTGATCCTCCCCTGGATCTTTGAAAGATCTCCTGATACCTGGAATAGGGATCTGTATTTAATTACATTTTTTATAGTTTTGAATATTTGAGCACAATGTAAGAATAAACAAAAAATCACCCGTATTCAAAATCATTGTCTCCCCAGTCTCCACCACCTGTAGTAACCAATATTGTGTACATACACATAACCAGTGCTAATTACCCAAGAATATGGTAAGCCATGGTTCCAATAGTATTTCAATCATAAAAGAATTGCCTTCCAAAGCTGTCTGCCAAGCAGTCTGCTATATCCATGCCAGGGATGAGGGAGAAGCTACCAAAGGGAGTCTGGGGAGTTTTCAAGATCCAATGGGTTATTCTAATTATCATGATTGATTTTGTGTTTCAAGTTAAACGTTATTTAGAACATACTCTATCCTGGAATAAATGATTAAATTGTATTTTCCAGATACATGATTTATAGATGCTGACTGTTATTAAATGTATTTTTTTATTAGGGTATTAGTTATTAGACATGTGCACTGCCAAAAAATGTGCTTAGTTTCGTTTCGTTTTAAATTCGGATTTGTGTTATTTCGTTTTTCGGGATTCGGGTGTGAAAGTCAATTCGGATTCGGAATTCGGATTCGGACGAAATTCGTTAGCGGTAGTTCGTTCGAACGTTCGTTTCGTTTCTTATTCATTTCGTTCATTCGTTCATTCGCAGCAAAGCGACATTTGAGGGGGAAAAATGTTTTCTCCTCTATTGCCACTTTGCCCGAACGAAACGAATAAGAACAGAAAACGAAACGAACGTTCGAACGAACTACCGCTACCGAATTTCGGTAACGGAAATTCGGATTCGTTTGCATTCGTTATATCTGTAATTCGGAATTCGGATACATCCGAATGTCCGAATTTCCGAAAATTCGTCCGAATTTCGATTCGTAACAAAACGAATCACACATGTCTATTAGTTATATCTCTTGCTCCAATTCGCCATAACTGTCAGTTTAAGGAACAGCAATGTATAAGCTATAATTATGTCTTCTTACCTCAGCATGTAAGCTGGATGGTGATGTTGAGTTTTCATTCTCTACACCCATGCCAACTGGGCCATTATTTGGGGAGCTGGGTCCAGATACTGGAGAGCTGCTGCTAACTGAAGACTCTACAACACAAATAAAGCAGCCAAAATAAATAAAAGGAACATATAAACAAAGCAAGCATAATTAGGTATAACATATATAGTACATTTATCATGAAATTAAACATATGTGATCAGGTATACACTATGTTCTATACTCTGTATTCAGGTAGTTTTTAATTTCTGTTGCTATTCCAACTAATATAATGGGTTATACCTCTCCCTTATTTTTATTACTACTACTACAACGATCACTTTCTAACAGACGAACATGATATATCTTTGTACAGTTCTCTGTGAAGAAAACTGCTGTATTTAACCGTTACAGGGCTCCACAATAAGCACTGCATGTTCTTATAACAATTAAAGGGTATACTAAAATCTGATATATGGCAGTGTACCAGTCCTTAGATGTGGTGGCTACATACATTTTTGTTTTTAAGGTTTTTTTTCCTTTATTTTCATCTGCTGATCATTCCATTAAAATACATCCTGTCCTAGAGTGACAATGCTTACTCACCATACTGTATCCATAGATAAGCCTAGAACAGGGGTACAGAGGCCTCCCCTCTTCTATAACATAGAGAGGAGGGATTCTGTAGTTCTCAGAGATAACTGGGACTGATGTAACTAATAAAACTGTAACACCATGCTTTCAACAGTATAATTACTTAACAAAATGGGACAAATAAGAGAAGTTAAAGTGACATTAAACCCTCAGATTTTTTAACATAAAACAATACTGTAATTTGTGCCTTACTGTAATCCATGGTAGTTTCCCTTCTCTTTGCTGCTCTTCCTTTTAAATCCGTATCTCTTCTCATGCTCTGCAGAACTTCTGTTTTGCAGCAGACTGGCTTGTCTCAGGAATGGATACACAGTGTCTGTGTGTAGGTTTCTATAGGCTTGTAACTTGAGCCAGCACTACAGGAAGAGGCCCTGAGCTGAAAAGGGAAGTTCTCCCCAAGCATGAGAAGACATGAGGATTTAAAAGGAAGAGCAGCAAAGAGAAGGGAAACAACCATGGATTACAGTAAGGCACACATTACAGTATTGGTTTATGTTAAAAAATCTGAGGGTTTAATGTCACTTTAATTGTTAGTTTATAACTACATTCATAATATAATTATCTGAATCATTGCACAATATATTACTGATATATTTCATTTCTCCATCTGGAATATTAGTGGTCAGTCTGGTGCACACATGGGAACTGGTAGTTTCATGCATGGTTGAGCTTACATTACTACTGGGAGGTTTGTGGCACCTTGTTGTTTTATGGTAGTAGTGTCATTCTACATAGAAGACATCCATCAATCTAGAGTTTCACTAATCTGTATGTACATCTCTTGTTTAACTTGCGAACACTTTATTAATGATCTGCCAAGCCATCTGATTGACTGCTTATCACATGGCAAGATGGCAGCAAAACGCTCACTCTCCCTCAGAAATGCTATGTCTGTAGGAAGCTGCTTGCTCCATATTGCACTTACATTCCCCCAAAGCACTATGACTATTTATGTCTACATAAAATCCCTGTTCACATCTAGGTGTTTTGTCTTTCAGAGCTAAGCATGACAAAACGCTCAAGACAAAGAATCCCATTCATTTCTATGGCCCCTGTTCACTCCTGAGCATTTTGTAGCAAGCAGAAAAACGCATGTCGCTGGAAATAGCACATGAGATACTTTTTGGCAGATTAGAATGCTTTTTGGTTCCATAGACTTCAATGGAAAACTATGTGCGACAAAACGAGCATAAATGCTTGAAAAGCGCATTTTCAGGTGTTTCCCATTGAAGTCTGCGGGACCAATAAGTGCTATAATCTGCCAAAAAGTAACTCATGTCTCTCGGGAACCCCTCCTCCTCTGTTTAACCAAATATTTTTTTTTTGCCTTCTGCAAAGGAGTCGTTCAGAACATTCTCACCAGAATGGTGACTACAACCAATCAGCTGCAGTCACTGTTCAGATATCCTGACAGCAGCACACCCACCGATGTCAGAATACAATAGCGCGGCAGGAAAGATTCGCCCATCCACATTGTTTAGCATGGATAGGGGAATTAAGCGTTTTTTCTCGTTCAGCCTGTGGGGATGAGCAAGAAAAAAATGACTAGTGTATAGCCAGCAATCTCGATCAGGGTTAACAAACACTTGAAACTGTTTAAACACATTCAACAGCCAGAATGAAGCATGACAGTGTATTTACAGAGTAAGAAAATGTCACGGGTATCATGACATTAGGACATGAGGAGTTTACTTGTGTCACCAAGATAAACAATGTAGATTTACAGAGGTCATAATAACATGCTATTAATCTAGAGGGTAAAGTCTGCCACTGTTCTGTCCTTCTGTGTATTCATATACTAAAACATCCCACTAACTTCATATTAACATCTGATAGAAAAAAGAACCCATTACAAGCACAAAATATTTCATCACTATAAACATTTCACATGCTTCAACTGACAATATTATGAAATAATAAATGTACATGTTTATGTAGGCTATGCCATTTTTTGTATCATTCAGTGAACCTTTGTGGAATATGGAACCTTCTGTGAAGAAAGAACATTCTCATATTCTCATGCAGATCATTTTAGGAACATTTCATGGTACAAATGAAAGAGATTGGTAAAAAAAAAAAAGGTGAAACACAAATGCAATTGTGCCACCCTAAGTAAAGTTGTTTTTTTGCAGATTCCGTCACATTTAGGCACTATGGGGTCTATTCACAAAGCTGCCGAGGGCAGCCGAGTGAATGACCGATCAGAAGTGAAGTGATCCGAACACCGTTCGGCTATTCACTTCAGGCTGGTACGGCTGATTTCAGCCGTATATCAGCTGAAATCAGCCGTACATCGGCTTGCTTCGTGTGGCTTCGGATCAGCCGAACATGCTCAGCATGTTCGGCTGACCTGAAGTGCAGAAGGAGTTCGACTCCGGCAGGCTTCACACTGCTGTTCGGGCTATTCTGAAAGATCCCGAACAGCAGTGAGAGAATAGCCGAATGCCGCCGAGCGGCATTTGGCTCGGCTGTTCTGCTCGGTCCCTCAGAGGCACCGAGCAGAACAGAAAAAGAGTGAAAAAAGTAGAAAAAAGTAAATAGAAAACGATTGTGCAGAGCTAGCAGTGACAGCTAGCTCCGCCCAATAGTTTCCTATTGTCCGGCGGCTCTGCTGCTGTAAAAAAAAAAAAAAAAATAAAAAATTAAAAAAATCTCCCGGGCACTCTGGGAGCCCCCCGCTCCCGGCCGCCAAGAAGAGAAACCCCGCTGTGTCTTTTTTTTTTTTTATTCTGACACGAGCGATGTCAGAATAGAGAAAAAAAAAAAACCCATTCAAAAGCATTGAGAGTTTACTATTGGCTATTTCAATTTGCAATAGCCAATAGTAAACTAGCATTGTTCCCGCCCTCTGCTGGTGGACCTGGTGGGGAACTGCAAAAGAGGGCGGGTACAATGCTAGTTTACTATTGGCTATTGCAATAGAAATAGCCAATAGTAATGTCCCAATGCTTTTGAATGGGACTTTTTTTTTTTTTTTATTCTGACATCGCTCCGTGTCAGAATACAGAAAAAAGACACAGCGGGGTTTTTCTCCTTGGCGGCCGGGAGCAGGAGACTCCCGGGGCGCCAGGGAGAGTCAGATGCTTGGAGATCAGTGTCCCTGGTTAGCAACCAGGGACGCTGATCTCTCTGAAAGTGGCCGGAGCCAGCCGTAAGATCACGGCTGGCTCCGCCCAGCTGTCAGAAGCAGGCTGTCGGCCGGCCAATGGCCGGCTGCTCGGCCAGCTTCGTCTTTCAGCACGGCTCAGCCGAGCCGATGCATATGCGTTCGGCTCGGCTGAGCCACTCGGCCATGATCGGGAGCTGTACGGGCTATTGTGAATACGGCCAGATCCTTCGGCAGCTTCGTGAATAGACCCCTCACTGTAAAACATTACAGGTTTTTGTACAGGCCAGGGTTTAGGTATTGAATTCCTAGCATTAGGACTACTGTTACCCCAGCTGTCAGAAGCAGGCTGTCGGCCAGCCAATGGCCGGCCGCTCGGCCAGCTTCGTCTTTCAGCACGGCTCAGCGCTCGACTGAGCCGCTCGGCCGTGATCGGGAGCTGTACGGGCTATTGTGAATAGCCCGTACAGCACCCCCTCGGTTCTCCTGAACCGAAGGGGTCCTGGTGCCGAAGCTAGCCAAAGGATGGGCCGAAGCTACGGCCAGATCCTTCGGCAGCTTTGTGAATAGACCCCTATGTTTCTTTTCTGCACACTACTTCTGGTTCCAATAAACCTTGACATCTTAAATGTTCACCAACCAAACTAACGTCCCTCAACGTAAACCTTTAAGGCTAGGTGTTGCCCAATATTTTGACTGCCAAACTGCAACGTGAAGCCTGCCAACTAATTGCAAGTGTATTGGACCATTCAGCTTGGTACATTAAACATACCTGGTATTTGGAGGTGTATTAAAAGGGTCATAACCGCTCTACCAAGTGCCCCTGCATCTTCGGGCAAACCCAAAAAAAAACACTGCAAGGGTTAAGTGCTCATTTTTGCAAAGGAGATTGAAAAAAAGCACTTTATCTTACTTAATTCCCGCTCCACCAGCTAACTTGTCTCCTCACTGTTCTGGCTGTTGGAATGTCCCTGGGCATCCTCATGTCTAATGTAGAGTCTATGGAACATGCATTAGACGTGATGACATAAGCAGTCCTAAGACGGCTGGAGCGTAGGAAGAAGAAGATGTGGGGACCAGGCTAGCAGCGTGGAGAAAGTCGGTGGGAGCGGGGATCTAGTAAGTAAAAGAGCCTTTTGTCAGCGCCCTTGTTGCCATGGCGCCCTGTGCGGCCGCACTGCTCGCACACCCCTAAGGCCGGCCCTGGCTGTACCCTAGGCATAAGAACTTAACCATTACAATGCAGAGGTAGCACCAAGGGTAGTTTTTTGGTTTGCTAGAGATGGACTTTAAATGGAGCCCTTACCTTTTAGCCTTACTTCTAACACTTACAGCTGCATTTTACCCCCTCCCCCCCAAAAAAAAAAAATTATGAGTATGTGGGACTTTTATAGAAGAAGAGATGTACTGAGGCTGATTTACTGAAGGGATTGATAATGCTCACATAATAAAGTGTGTAAAGATTCCCAACAATTATCAAATGTTGTGAACAGAAAATGCCTGCTCACTTATTTAATCTACACATGACTGAATAATTGATGTGACTATACCCACAATTTATTGTGTGAACATTCTCACATTCTTAGCAAATCAGCTTCATTGTGTGTCTTCTGCAAAAAAAAAAATAGTGCAAACAAAAAAAATTCACAGTACACTCACCAGCCAGTCTGCAAAAAACAAATTACACAGTCTAACTATTAGGGTTAATAACAGAAGTTTTTAGTTGCACAACTTTTGCAAAATATGTGGAAGCCACACTGACCTCTGTGTAGTGTGGTCCTAACTCATATCTATGAAAGCCTCCATCTTGAAGCAGGTACACCTGCAGGTAACTCATTCCTCCCTGTGTAAAGCCCCTCCATGTGCACATTACTTTAAAAGCTAGTCATAAATTGATTTCTGCAGTTGCCATTGATTCACTTGTTGGATTTGGTGTGGGGACACACTGGGGGCTTCAGCTGCCATTGTGATGTGCTGGGCTTCTGGTGTGTCCCTGTGCCTATAAGAAGGAATAGCAATGTGGCTTCCACATCTTTTGCAAAAGTTGTGCACCCAAAACCTCTGTATTTAACCCAGTTAGTTAGACAGTGTAATTTGTTTTTCGCAGACTGGCTGGTGAGTGTGCTGGGAATTTTTTGGGTTTGGGTTTTATCTGCAAAAAATATTCTTGCCTGCCTGCTTGCAGACTGGAACAATTTCACCTTAGTGGGAATCTGGCAAAAAGGTATTCAAATATAGCTGAAACAATCAAAATTGTTATATAAAGCCTGTGTTATACTCATTATATAAAACATTTTACACCTCTTACCTGCAACTTCAAATATTCTCTTTTTATATGAACTGGTGACATTGCCATCTTTTCTTCTAAGTAAAGGGCTACTTCTCCTCTCTGCTACCTTCTGTTTTAATCGAGAACGAACCTTCAAATTGGGCTCTGAAGCTGAATGAGAATTATCAGATTTAGAATCAGCTTTATTGCTCAGGTATGTGCAAGCATATAAGGAATTTGTCTTTGGTTTAAAATTTAAAGGATGTAATATGACACTCAATGTACTTTGCATATAGATAAACATTTATAGTTATGTGTGCACCAACAAAGACAATTACACACTGCTTTACAAAGTACTGGTAATACATAGTCTATTATTTATGCTGTTTCATTCCAGTGTCTGCCAATAAAGGCTGGCCACTCTGGCCCCAGGTACAGTCAAGGACTCAAAAAGAGCTGCACCCCTGTAATTACTCCTCAAGTATTCTGGTTTTTAGAAAAAAAATGCTGGGCACAACTACCAGACCAAGAGATTCTCCTAAAACCTACCAAAAGTGATCAGAACTATTTCCACTCTGCTGCTCGCTATGCCACAACCGGATTTGTCCACACATTCAGATGTTATTTGAGCATTGTTAAAAACATGGTTAGGGGATTGTTTAAAAGAAATATAGGGGGCTCTTCATTAAGCTGCCAAAGGCCACCGAATGAATAACGGCTATTCACTGCAGCCGCATATGGCCTTTCTTAGCCGTACATTGACTGCATTCGGCCCATATGCCTCAGACGATGCAACATCTGGATTAGCTGAGGCGAACGTTTGACAGTTCATTCTCTGATGTTCACCACTATTCTCCAAGGGGCAAAACAGCAGTGAGTGAATTGCCAAACATTCAACTCAGCATTCGCTTCAATCATGTTGACTTCAGAGGTAGTGCAGCAGAATGAAAAACGTTATGTAAAAAAAAACAGCAATCCATACCAGACCCTTTATCTCTACTAGGAATGTGTTTCCCTACAAAGTCATATCAGACCCTTAAGCTCTCATAGGAATTTAAGGGGGACCCCAATACCAAAAAAAGAAAGAAAAAACATAGGGTCCCCCTAAAAAGCTCCTTAATCTGAGCAGTGGCCTGACAGAGCTGGAACGTGGGCGTGATGTCATGACACGTTCTGCCCCATTTGTTTACAGGAGGACAGAGAGCTGGCATGTAATGAAAACAAATGGGTGGAGCGAGTCATGATGTCACAACTCACTCCCCTCATTTGTTTACATTCGGCTCAAATCTGTAATTTTGCGGTGGGAGTTTGCGGGCATCGTAAGAGTCAGCAAGCGACAGGGCTTTTTTTATTTAGGCGTATCAGCGAACATCGTTCATTGTTGACAAGGATCTGCATCACTGGATGACGTAATCGATCTTTGGATTGCATTGATGGACAATTGTTTTTTTGTTACCTATTAAAGGACTTGTCAAAAACTGGCTTTTGTATTTTGTTCAAATAAATAACTTTTTTTAGGGTGTTGTGTGTTTATTTACCATTTTATTTACTCTTTTGGTGAATGACTAGGGGTAACAACTACCTCTTGCTCATTCACAAGGGAGGGGGAACGGTATCTGGGTGCCACTTTTATGAAAGGAGGCACCCAGATGCAGATGAGCCCCCCTGCTCCTCTGGAAAAGCACCCACCCCATGTCGAGATCATGTGGCCTGGTATGATGTGGCGGGGCGCACGCTCACCCCCATGCTTTCCTGCTCTGCCAGGCCATTGCTTGGACTAAGGGTCTGGTTTGGAGTTTTAGAGGAGCCCCGCTTTTTTCTTTTTAAGTTTTGGGCATTTAGGTCCCCCTTAAAATTCGTACCAGACCTAATGAGTCTGGTATGAATTGGGAGGGGAACCCCATGCTGTTTTGTTTTTAATTCTCATTTTTAACAACATTCCATTGCCTTAGTCCACTTTGGCGGACCATTCTCCCTGCTGTGGCAGTTTGTTCGGCTTTGCCGACCCAAAGCATACTTGTTCAGCTTGCCTGAGTTCGGGTGTTTAGTTTGGCTGCTGTATGCGTTTTTGAGAATAGCGTGTATAGGAGCCCCTCAGTTCGGCTGAACCGAAAGGTTTCTGCAGCCGAAGTGAATGTTCGGCTAAATCCTTCGGCTCTTTAGTGAATAACTCATAGTTTCTTCTCAATGTGTATTCATGGGAGACTCCCCTGCCAGCCACTCACTAATATGAGGTATGCTCCTTCTACTCAGAAAGAAGGCTGTTCAGTATTCACCAGAGAGTTGCTGAACTTCTATGTCAATGTGTTTAATGCCCGGTGGCACTGATTGCCTTCCTATTTTTACCACGCACTTTTCACTCTTTGCATTTCAATCACATCAGCACTAGAAACTTTTCTTTATATATTCACATCTCTAAATTTGTCAGCCTGCTGAGAAGGTAACCTTGCATAACATAAATTATTGAAATGAAAACATGCAATCTGGAGCTGAAAGAAATACATGAATATTCTGTGATTTAGCTCGATAAGCAACACGAGAAAAAATTGAATAATTAGTTCCAAAATAAAAAGGCATAAAAATAAAGAAAATTATAAAGAACTGTTTAGTGATCTTTCCTAGAACTTCAATGTTTATAAACTTCAGCTGTAAAGTGGTTGATTACTACCCGTTTATATACAATAAATATCACTCTGCTAAATCACTGCTGGAGGCAGTAGGGGAAGGAGTCAGCTGCTTGACTGATAGCTGTGTGTCTGACTTCCTGTTCCAGTTCAAGAAAAACTACGAACTGTGTGCATCTCAAATTGCCATACATTACTCCAGTGCAATTTCAGAAAATCAACATCCTTTTCTGTAAAACAAAAATATGTTGATCTCATGACTGTTATGTTGAAGAACTGAATAATTAGGAACATAATTTTTGAAAGATTACAATCACCAATGACCATTTGGGAAGTTCAGTGTAGGATGGCCCAGGGACTCTACAGTCTTTTTACACCTTAAAGAGGCCCTGTCTGCTTGCCCATTTGGCTCACTTACTCCTCCACTATATACTTATATTTACATAACTTCATTACTGATACTTCTTTCATGGCTGCTGATACAAAATACTGGGTGTTTCTGGGTACTGGCAGCCTCTTACCATTATGCTGTGATCCTATTGTGGTCTCTTCTCATGATGCTGTGCTCGGGCCTAATGGACTATAGCCAGGCCTGAACAATGTCACATGATGGAGGGGGTGACATCACTGCTCCCTCTAAGCTCCAACTTCACCAAACACAGTGTATTTTGCAGTGACTACATAAGAATAAGTAGGGATTGGTGAACAATGTGAATGGGAGTATAAGGTGGTTGGTGGGCGGAAGTTATACAGACACTTTGACTTTGCTCTGAATGGGGAAGGAGACAGGGCCTCTTTAAGGAGAAAGGACATACCTTTGAGGAGTATGGGGTGCACATTTTGGACAGAGGATAACTGGCTTCGGGGTGTAGACCTTTGACAGCCCATCCCACCCACATAATTTGAAATAATTCACACCGTCCACCATGCAAATCAAACTGCTTACACATGTGCAAGGTTTATTGACACAATAAAAACAGAACGGGTTGGTTTAACAAACGTTCACATCCCAGCCATGTTCTTGGATAATCAACAACTGCCTTGACATATTTCATAGGGCCATGGTGGTTGGATTAAAGTGAAGTTGATCATGTGTATATAAATGCTTTAATATGTACCTGAGACTCACAACTGGGGAAGCTACTTGAATGATTGGTGTAATGAATTCAGCATTGCAAAAAATGTCCATTTGAAAGTGCCTAACTACTACTAGCTTCAGACATTAGCCTCTCCAGCAAGACTCCACCTATAGTAATCAGCACTTATATTTTCACATGTTTAGAAGAAGAGATTGCCCAGTATATGCCTGCCATTATGGCAACTAGCTTTGTTTATCACAGCACAGATCAACTATTAGGACCCATTAGCATTGCAAACTAAAGTGAACTGAAACAGGATGGCAAATTCTGCACTATTATGTTTAATGGTTCAGCTTGCATGTATGTGTTCCTGTGGGCTGGGATTTAGCAAAATGCAGTGTTCAGCTTCTTCCCTCTGTTTTCAGAGAATTAATTTACATTGTTTTTAATGGACTAGCATGCAAACTGGAGGCAAAATGCAAATATTTAAAAGTGGAAAAGGGACTTCAGTTTTTGCTAAGGAGATACAAGTATGTAAGCATTTTTAAAGTCCCAATTTCACTGTTTCCATTTTAAAAAATTGCATTGGTTAAGGTGTTCTAAATGTTGTTGCAGCTTTAATGGATCATAACCATTGAGATTAAATGGGTCCTTAGGTTAAAAAAAAAGAAAATTAATTTGACAGTTTGGCACTACTTTTAAGCGATTGGCTACTGCCATAACACACATTTAGGTAAATGTAAATTACATTGGGCAGAATTTATCAAAACTGGAGCAGACAGAATCTGGATCAGTTGTCCATAGTAACCAATCAGCTTCTTCCTTCAGTTTGGTCCAGTTAAACTCTGAAAATGAAAGATAGAATCTGACTGGTTGACATACACAAACGCTCCAGATTGTGTTTGCTCCAGTTTTGATCAATTCCCCTCATTATATTTTTATGCATTTCTAATATTTATTATGATCTCAAGTATTTCCACAGCTGTCCAGAAAATATGCCAACTTGTTCACAGGCTCAAGTGCCAAAGAGGACGTTCATTCTGCAAGATCATATGTCACAGGTTCAGATGTTTGGACTTTTGTACTATGCAGCAAGCTTTTACTTCTCATTTGGATGCTATGCACTCCTCACTAATTATAGACTGGCTGATGATCTTGTATACTACACCACAACAGCCATTGGACAGCCTGGCTGGGAGAAAGGGGCATTTAGTGGTACTAAAAGAAAATAGATAGGCCAGTAAAAATCACATATATACAACGGAAAGTATTCCATAATCAGTTAGATTTCTTGGCAGAGGTGGTGATATTGACATGAACCTGCTATCTGTTAGAGTGAAGGGTGTCAACAATGTCATTATCAAATAAAATGATGAACATCGAAATAGCATTTACACACAGCTTGTCCTACAAAAGCATAAGCAGCACGTTCCCAATATATTGTGTGCTAGAGACCTAACAAATGTGT